CTCTCTCTCTCCTGTATTCAATCTACCACCGATGACATAATTATAGTAGCCCATAGGCATCATTTTCAAACATACTTCTTTTTTTGCATTGACCAGAGAAAGGGATACTTCCTCTCTATCCTGTCAGATATTGTTGGTCATTCAAGATGAAACACACACTAAATAAGAAGAAAGAAAATGACTAGAACCAAGTACGGAAGTATACTATCTAGGACAATGGTTTCTTTCTCCATGTTTTATTATCAATCTAAACGAGTAAGTCCTTCACAAGGTGTATACTATAACTTTTTTTTTTTGTTCATTCTTTTCTTCCACAAGTATGAGATACATAGATATAGATGAGAGTATCATTTAGCTTGAAATTCCACTTCTTGTTAAGATGATCAAGGAGCATAATAAACTCACTATTATATATAGAGATTCACTCTTCTCATCTTTTCGTGAGATTTCAGTCACTTGTACTAACATGCACATGCGTGTACATTTCATAATGGTCTGCTGTATTCATATGCTGCTATAAGCAATAGTGAGCACGAAGAAAAGTTCACCCACCCCTTGCCGATTATCATTTTCTGCCTGCTTGCCCGCCTACTAGCGAGCACACATACACACATATATATATATATATATATACATATACATTCATTCACGTTCTATTTTATTGTTATTGTTATAGTCTTCCGTATTCAGTGTTTGAGCCGTGCCGTGCCCTCTATCTTGTTCACAAAGTAAATAACCGTAAGGATTGAATAAGGAAGAGAGAGAGAGAGAGAAAAGAGCAAGCGAAGTAATATAGAAGTCTGTTGATTATTCAAATGTGAATGGAAAATTGATAGGATCAATGTTCGATTATTGAAGGGTAAGAACTTTTTTTATATGACCGATTGAACTTCTAATAGGGAATAAATGAATATTCTTTTTGCAATTAGATTTCATTAAATTAAATAGAACAAACACCTGTAAGACTTATTCCAATTGTGTTTGATGTTCAAAAATATAGAATAGCGGTGATACTTTTTTTCCCTGTAGCCACTTGAGAAAAATCTGTTGTCTTAAGAATGACAATAAAATATGCTGACTGAGAAACATATGTATGTCTACTTAAAATAACCTTGAAATAGACTAATTTCTTTTTCTTTCTCCTTGTCCATTGTCTTTATGTATCGATTAATAAAGGTATGAGAAGAGTGACAGATTCTCATTGATCATTGTGATATGACAGCTGAACTTTTTCTATCATCATATGGACAACGTTAATAAGACTTGAGAGTCATTGTGATTGACTTTCACTGGCTGATATGAACGGAATATGATCTGTTGGGGGTAGATAGGTCTATTATTGTTTTTTCATAACTAACAACAACAATAACCTTGAATATCCATCTTCTTTACATTATAAACTACATACATATTTATTTATGAATAAATATATATAGTTTATTTGTTTGTTTGCCAAATCTCTCTTCCTCTTTTTTTTTCTCGCCGTCGGATTAAACTGTACTCCTATCACTTTCTTATTCTTACGTCATACTTATATATATATATATATATATACATATACAGATAAATTGCGTTCATCCGATGATCCATATGTGTGTGTATGTACAAAACATTAGACATTTCTATATTTTGTGCTTATCACTTCTGATATACGTATGTTTCAATTGACAACTTACATCATTCATTTACAACTAAATACAATTTCTAATAATCATTCGTTACTTTTCTTTTTTGACATGACACAATCTTTTATTTCCTCCTATTTGAATAAAGCAAGCAAGAGAGAGAGAGAGAAAGTAAAGAAAAGAATAGTGACATTTGCTCTCAAAAGAGGAAATTCCTTCTTTTTTTTAGGGGGGTAAAACGGATGGTTGGGAATAGGAACATACCAGTTAGCGACTAAGCATTTGTTACGATTATGCAATGATATCTGTCAATCTAAAATTGTGTATATGTCAATTTTGTTTTTCTTTTTGATTACGAAGAAAGGAAAAAAAAACAAATTTGTTAGATAAAATATGTTTAAATTTTTCTATGAAACAAATTGCTTTTCACACCGATTGCGTGTACATATTGATAATGTTATATATACATATATTTAAAACCTTGAATATTACAATAGAAAGTGGTACCTATAGAGAGAAGAGAAAAATCTTTTACGATTTTCAAGGAAATCTCTGCATGATTGTATGTATTATATTTTGTAATTTCGATCATTTAAGAAGATTTTCTTTTTCTCTCGTGCAATTCTTTTTTTTTGACAAATCAACTGTTCTATGAATTGATTATGACTTGTTCGCTTAGTCGTTTTTCTTGTTCTATTTTTTTAGTACTCTATTATATACATTACTTAGATCGATAGAAGAAGAAGAAAAAAACGGCGATGAGATAAGCCCACTGTCGATCGATTGATCGATCTTATAGCAATAAGGATAGAAAAAACACAATGTTCCGTTTTTTTCTCTACTCTTCAGTTCTTTCTCTCTTTTTTTTTACAGTTGTCTGTGTTCAACCATACGTATGGAAGCGACACTGATCGTAGAACGAGTGAGCGATTTTTTTGCTTCTTCTCTTGTCATTTCTGTCAGTGCATCGTCAAAACAGGTCAATGCACATACATACACATCAAGAGACGAAGGACTTGATCATCGTCATCATCATCATCATCATCGTCTTTCTTTTTCTTCGTCGTCTTCATTTTGCCATCTGTATCGTTGGCTGCTTGTCGATTTCAATAAAACCATCAATGTGTTCATTCAATTGACGGGAATGCAACTCTCCCCCTCTCACTCTCTCGTTTACTCTGTCGTCTAATGGCTACCTTCTGTTCACATTGATTGAAGGCGGTGGTCAACAACAACGGAGTGGTTATGATTGCGACACACGAATAGTGGTAGTAGTAGTAGTAGTAGTAGTAGAAAAAGAAGTGCATCGAATATACGTCTAGCGATCAATCGATCGATCGCGCAATTTGTTCATGATTACGCATCATCGTTGTCATCATCATCATTATTATTATTATCATCGTATTGGAAAAAAAACATATGTTCTATTTCTAAAAGATAAAAATCTTGATCTAAACTACTATTTCATCAAGCGAAGAGGAGAGTGAGTATCTATCATTCTATCTATCTTTTAGCTATAAACAACGTACTACTACTACTCATCGATGTTGTTGATTAGAGTCTTCCATCTATCCTATCTAGGTTTGGTTGATATGTATAATGTTCACACACATATACATATACTCATATATACATATGTATATATATATATAGCAAGGGTATTGTAGAAACGTAAGCGATGATATTATTGATAACATGAAGGTCACCAGCCATTATCTTTAACGAGCGGATGTGCGTGTGTTTAAGCTTAGAAAAAAGTTTATCAAATTGGATATAGCACATCTATTATTCTTGTACTCTTTAAAATAGTTCAATTGAAGGATAACTGTTTTTCTTTTAATTGAAATAGTTTTAACAGATTTCAGTGTCCGATTAATCGTAAAGAGAACATTTGGCGGTCAACTCTTTGAATTACTGTCTTCTTTTCTATTTTCCTATATTGAGACCGCTAATATATTTCTTTTAGTGATTGACTATATAGCACATCTGATTTTCTTTTTTTTTTAATATATGTATGTATGTATGAACTGTTCAATTGCATGTCTATTGAAGAGACTGATAGTAATCTTAGCATATATCCATACGTACACAAATATATTTTATTTGATGCATGAGAAATGATCGCATCTCTTTTTTTCTTCTTCTTCCTTTTCTGTTTCTGTATTTTATTCGATATGTATGATGTGTTGTGTACAAAGAGATGAAGATTGTTGGCGGCAAAGATGATTTATTTGCCTTGAAAGTTCATTTATGTGAGGTGTTTACTATGGCGACTTTCATGTATCTACTCAAAAAGAGTTTATTTGTCCATCGTATTTCGACATGAAGAGAGAAAAGAAAAATAATAAAAAAAACGGAACGTTGTGTGTGTTGAAACATTTCTTTTATTTCTTTAGTTTTATTGATCATTGAAATGTTCTTCTTTTCCTTGTTCTTCTCTCTTTTTTTTGCTTATTTATTTATAAGGCATATTCAGCCGAAACATCGACACGTAATTCCCAATTGACGTTTTCCTTGTGTGTGTCGTCCTCCTTTTCTTTTTTTCTTTTACTTCTTGCATATGTCTCGCATAGTAACTGCTACGATGATGTGCTTCTGTTGTGACGATAGGGGTGGAGTTCCTATTTTTGTTCACCTTTGCATGTCCTCGAATACTATGAGACGAATAAGAGAGTATAAGCGGAAATGCTAAAACAAATTGTACGAGAGAAAGAGAGAAGGAGAAAACAGCGAGCTGTCAGATGAACAGTCTTTGAAGAGAACAGAGAGAAAAAAATGAGAGAGAGAATGAATGCATTGCAAAGAAAAATGATGATGACTTGTTGAATTCTCTCTCCCTTCTCTTTCTCGCTTTTCTTTCTCTTTCTCTCTTTCGCTTTCTATTTGAACAATGTTTGAGAGTAGCCACCTTCCTTCTTTCGGCTTGCCTTAATTCTTTTTTTTTTCACTTAAAGATGTTTCCATCATAATGATGATGATCATTGTCTACTACTCTTACTCTTGTAATTACACACGAAAGATGCCCCGACTATCAATAATAACACCGCTGATCTTCTTTTACATGCCTGTCTATGTCTTTTTTTTTCTTCTTCTTTGTATTTATACGTATCAAGACTGAATGAATGAACAGCTGACGGTAGGCGGTCAGTATTCGTTCAACCTGATCTCATTAAAACTACGAATAGAATTGGTATTGTTATTATTCTTACTGTTTGGATGCTCATTTGTTTGAACAATTGATGCGTCCAAGTGTATTAATGAAGATTTCTTTTTCTACTCTTTTTTTTTTCATATGTACATATGTTACATCATCTACTTTTATTAATTCTAGATGTCTTTGTTTTTGTTTTATTTCTTTATAATGTAATATGCACAATGAAATTGATCTATATTCTCGTATTATACATTTATTTAAATATAACTGGTATGTCAAAAAACTATTTATTTAAGAAAAATTAAAAAAAATGTTCTCCTTCTTCTCCTTCATTTAGATGGTTTACCACAAGTACGTGTACGTCCACAAACAGCTGTAATACCATCATCATCTGAAGCACATTTAATATGTGAAAGTAATGATACACCATTTATATCTGTTTCCTATTGGACTCATGTTGGTCAACGTATTGAATTGAATCCATCTATAATTGAAATGCATGAAAATGAATTACGTATATTTCAATTTGGTGATACTGCATATACACAACCAGGTGCTTATGCCTGTGTTGTTTCAACTCAATATGGTCTATTGGAAAGTGAACCAGCTATGTTAAGTTTACCAAGTGAGTCTTTCATGTTTATTCATAATATTAATCTTACTCTAACCGACATCTTGTCGCATCACTGTCAAGATATATGCATGTATACTCAGACACATATGTCCATATAAGACCTGTCACAATAGCTCATTAAGAGATACGAAGGTGATGTCTCTTTTTCTTTTTGCCGACTTTCTTAATTGTCTCAATCGGAGAATAATCTTAGTTGTATCCAGACAAATGGTACCCAAATGAATAGTCTATTGGCCTTTTTCTTATCGTTTTTTGATATAATTTTAAACGCTTCATTAAATGTTCGTAAGAAAGGTGTCAGACTTCTCTTTAATTATTATTTCATTTGAGTTGTATACGAAAATAATGATCAACAACGATAGCAGTACTAGTCACTAGTATCATTGTTCATGATCCATTAAAAAACAAAATGGTCTATCGTTTGTTCAGTTAAAACGATAGGAGTATCGGCTACTATAGTTAATTTGATTCCATTTCGCCTCTGTCTTCATATATATATATATTGTTGCTCGATTGTCTGCACTCTACAAACGATGAAACAAAAGAGACGATAGTTGATGACCTGTCCGGTAGGAATGGCAAACTTATAGTTTGATTATTAATATCAAATAGCCTGAATGTGTGTTGTATGCTTTGATGCTGTCAAGTGTATAATCGTAGGCGATTCGATCCGATCGAAGAGTTCTTTATTTGCTTTTTTTTCGAGCCTTAAATACACACGCACGCACATATACACATACGTGTAGAACATTGTTAAACAGACAGACAAAAAGAAAAGCTTTTGCCTTGAGATGCTCTCGCCTTTTATTTTCTAGTTTCTTGTCGAGATAATCAAGAACATGAGTAGCCATCTAAATAGACTCTTATTCTATTTGAGTAAAAGTGAATATAAATTGAATCAGAAATCTCAATAGGATATATGAATATGTAAACAATTCAGTGTTGAGAGTATATGCACATGACGTCTTTTTTCTTGCAATTAGAGAATAGCTAGTTCGATGATTTCTGTTGCTTAATCTTACGCAACTTATTGTTCATACATCGGAAGTTCATTCTTGACTTGTATCGCATACACAATAGATCATCATTCTTATCTTTTTGCTTACGAATAATATATATGTTAAACAGATAGGTTATGTATCAACAATCTAGCAAAATGTCACCGTTCAATATGTGTCTATCTCGCTTCAGGGATGACTATGACCAGACGATGACGAAGAAGAAAAAAGAAGAAGAAGAAGAAGAAGAATTAGGATTTCCCATGAGTAGAAATTCTGTCATCATTGTTTTGTCTTGATGAAATCATTGCACATAAAAAAAAGAAGAAGAAAAAGGTCAAGATCAGCCGTAAGCAATTTCGATCAGAATATGATGGCATAGCACATAGCATAGCGAGAAGATAAGTGACCAGTCGGGAGGTTGAATTCTATCTTCAATGGGTGATCATTAATTTAATGTGTATATATATATATATATACATAGATATGTAGGTCTTCTTACCGTATATTCATTCATTCTTCTTATGATTAAAAGAAAGAGGCGGAGGAACACAAAATAGAACGACTATGTAGACAACTAAATAGTCGATCAGTCTCTATAATTATCGAAAACAAGATTTATGTTTTAATATGAATCTGTCGGCGTCTATTCATTACTAATATCATCAAGCTAATTTTCTCCCATGTCGGCAACATAAGTTATTCGATTGTGTTGATTGAATATCTATACATATAATCATTCTCGCAGACAGAATTATATTACGACATATAAAGATGATAAATGTTGTTTCGTGTATTATTTAATGAACAATGTTAAAAATCAAAATGAATAATGATCAACTATTGTTCATGTTTCTTTCTGTTATTTTCTTATACATATACAATCATCGGTCATGCACGTATATATATATTAAGCCGGATATTATTTTATCTGTAATTCACTTAGCACAAGAAGGAAAGGTTTGTCTTCCTTCTATGTTCATCCTATCTCTTTGTGTCGGAAATTGAAGTTCATATATTGATGATGATGATGACCGGCGCCTCTCACTCGCAAACATCCGAGTTATTTATGGGCGTCACATATTCACGCTAGGAGGCCAATAGACATGGAAAAATATATACGCCTTCTCTCTTCTATTTGTTCAATAGCTAATCATGATGTGAAACGAAACATTGATGAACATCATTATACTTACTAACATACTTAGTCAAAGATTGAACTGGTTAATTATGAACATACAGATGTTTTAAAAGACAAAAGGGTCAAGTGTCCATTTTCTCTTTACTCTCAGCTTGATAGTAAAAAGAGATGAGTTGAATATTGTCAATTGAATTTACTTAAATGTTGACATGTGGAGTATGCATGCATATATCTTTAAATAATCCATCTGTTCATAGTGAAAAGTGATGTTTGTCAGTTAAAAAGAATTAATTTAATTCAATAAAGATATATCCATTTCTTTCCTCCTTTTAGCATTGGATCCTTTTAAAACAGATATCAATGAAAATAATGTTATGAATTTAACTGAAGGAAATATTGCTGTTATACCATGTGAATTACCTAATGGAAATCCTCGACCAATACCATTATTTACTTTAGATAATAATCCTATACAAATTGAATCTAACTCAAGTATGCGAATACTTTTGAGAAAAAAATCATTTTTTTTCTTTTGATATTTCTATAGATCGATATAAAATTTTACCTAGTGGAAATTTACATATTATTGATATAAATCAATCCGATGCAGGAAAATATCGATGTTCAGCTAAAAATTCCTTAACCGAACAAATTGTAAATAATAGTCAAATAACAACATTACATGTTTTAAAGAAACCTTTAAATGATAAAGATCGTTTACCATTAACGACTGTATATAAACCACCTGTTGCTTCCAGGTATATTAAAAAAAAAAGTTTTTTTTTGTATTTATATAAATAATGTATTATAATAATGAATAGAGTTTTGGTTGGAAATAATTTTTCTATTGAATGTGTTATTGCTGGTTGGCCAAAACCAAATGTTGAATGGGAAAAATATGGAGATGTATTACCAGATAAACGAAATCAAGTTTTACATGGTACTTTATATTTATATGATATACGAATGGATGATCGTGGAACATATATTTGCCGAGCAACAAGTTCAACTGGACAATCTGATATAGCTTATACTGCTTTATTAGAAGTTTTAGGTAAGAAAAAAAAAATTTGAGAAGATAAAAGTTAATTGCTCATATTTATTTAGAACCACCAAAAATTATTCAACGTCCGGATTCCGTGATTCAAATAAATCAAGGAGAAAGTGTACCGATTAAATGTGGATTTCGTGGTCGACCTGAACCAATAATTAGTTGGTTATATAATGGAGAAGAAATTATCATTAATGGATCACCTATTACAGGTATAAAAATATTTTATTTAACGGAAGAATAGATATCCGGAAGTTTCGAGTTATATAAGATAGTATCAAGAAAGAGAGGTAGTCGACTTCATCAATTTTTAACGTCTATGATTTACTTTATGCTATCTCAAGGATAATTTCATGAAGTTTTCTATTTCCTTTGTTTCAGGCGGTATTCTATCTCTCAATCAAGCTAAAGCAGGTATTTATCAATGTATTGGTCGAAATCCATATGGTATTGCACAAGCAAGTACTGTACTTATTCTTCCGAATAATACCAAATCTGAAAGTAAATTTGATATTTTTTTTTATCGATAAAATATTTTAATTCAATTTTTTGTTTTTCTAGAAAAATTGGATCAAGAAGTTCCATCGAAGAAATCTTTAATTGTTATTGGACCAAATAATATAACTGTATTTGAAGGGGAAACAATTCAATTACATTGTTTAACTCAAACAGGTTCAACTGTTCAATGGTTACATAATAATGAAATGATTCAATTAAATTTAATGCGTCGTTATGAAATGCTTCCATCCGGTGGTTTACGTATTGTATCAGCACAAAAATCTGATAGTGGATTATATGAATGTGTTGCATCGAAAATTGGTTTTGGAACAAATACAGCTAAATGCTATGTTCATATACAAGGTTTGGGAGTGAATGTTCCTGGTTAGTTTTGTCTGTTTTTGTTAAAGTGTAGAATGCTAAAAATAAAAAATATAAGAAAAAAACCTAAAACGATCTTTTTTTTTCAGAAAAACAAACTCATCCATCATCATCATCATCATCAACTCGTGGAGGTAAAATATTTTTTTTTTTAATGCAATCTTTGAGTGAGACAGAGAGAGAATTCAGCGTCATCAGACATGAAATAATTATTTGTCTTAGATCATTCATACGATAGTAAACTGATTACAACTGACGTACGTCATCCCTTTAGGCTACTCTAAAATTAACTAACATGTACCAAGAATTCATATGAACTATTGATATTTTATTTAGCATCAAAACTTGAAATAATTGATATAAATCAAATAAGTAATAATGTTGTTGAAATAATTTGGAAAACTAGTGAAACAGTTGAAGCTAATATACAAATTCAATATCGATTAATTTATCCGAAAACTTCATGGATAACAGATAATCAAATCTATAATCAATCCGTTACTCACGGTATTATTTCAAATCTTGAAATTGATCAAGTTTATAAATTTCGTGTAACTGCTTTGGATACAAATGGAAAACAAATAATGTCTAGTCCAACAAAACGATATATAGTTAAACCTTCGAACCAATTAAATCTACCAATGCCACAAATAACGGATGCTTGGATAACAGCAGATGGACATATTAGTTTAAAATGGAAAATAAATGATTCTGATAGTGAATTAATTGATGGATTTATTATTTATTATCGTTTAATAAATTCCAAAAATGTAAATTATACAACAATAACAATACCAAATTTACGTTATCCATTAATTGATACATATACAATATCATCACCAATAGAAACAAATGAAAAATATGAATTACGTATGGCTACTTATTCAAATCGTGGTTTAAGTTCAATGAGTAATTCAATTGAAATATCAATTCCATCATGTAAATTAATTAAAAGTTTCAATATATATATATTAATTTTTCTATTTGTCTAGTTACTACTGAACGTCGTTCAAATAATAATCCAAAAGATTCCATGAAAAATCTTGATGAAATTCTTGAAAATATAACTAAAATAAGAAATCCAACACATATTCTACATGATTTAGCGACACCATCACAAGTATCATTAACATCAGGACAAAAAAATTCTGATATGCTTTATTTAACTATTGGTATTATTGCTGGAATATTATTAATTTTAATTATCATTCTTATTGTTATGTGTATATTAAGAATATTTCAACGTAAAAAATTTATCGGTATAATAGAATTTGTTCATAGAATAGAAAACAAACGATTCTAATTTCATTTTTTTTTATTTAAGCTCATGTTAAATCTGTAAATGGATCAGAATTTTATTGTGATGGTTTACATAAGAGTTTAAATCCTGATTATGCAACAACACCTTGTCTACAACATGGAGTTGTTGCTGTTGATGGAAAATTAATACCATTTGCTTATCCAACAAATTCAAAACAAACTATTCTTTGGAATGGACAAACAGCTATACCACATAGTTCAACAACAACAACAACAGATAATGGTACGATAAGATTAAATCCAAATCCAATGAATCGTTTAGATAATGAAAAGACAACTGATACACAAGATAATTTTTATCATACTTTAACACCTTATGGTCCACATAGTCAATATGAAGAACATTCATGTGCATTTAATCAGCCAAGTATGTTCGAGAAATGAGACATATTCCGTCGTGGATAATTCATAGTTTACATAACATATAGAATATTTCCAAGGTTTTTATAGTGTGATATCGGATGAGTTAGATTGACATTAATTAAGAATATACGTTGAAATCTAATATTAATTATTTCTTTACTTTTTTTTATTTAAAGGTTTATTTGGTTATACAAGTGATCGTTCGAATGTATCAGCATGTCCAATACATCATCGTATGATAACTTATCCATCCGATACATTTCCTTTAAAAACAACTTTGAATAAATCAGATAATTCAACAAATAAAAAAGTAAATGGTATTGTTTTATCCTCACAAACAAATGGAACACCATTTCATCAATATCATCATCATCTTCTTCATCATGGAACATGTCAACGACATATAAAAACCAAACCAGTAACAACATCAAATGTTAATGAAAGTATGTAATTGATTGAAAATTATTTTTTTTTTATTTTTCTTCAATAAATCTTTTCTAGATGATCAACAACAAGATTTATGTGATCGAAGTTTTTCATCATCATCAGCCGGTGGTGGTGGTGGTAGTAGTGGACATTATTGTACGCATTTATCAAATGATTCAACACGTCCACTGATTAATTCAATACCACATCAACAAACAAATGATAATTCAGCGCCAACAAGTACAGGCTCATCATCTCATTCATCAAGTGGTATTGGTTCATCTATTGAATCTCCTTATAATCATTGGAAATATTTAACACCTTTATCTGTTACAACAATACACAATGATACGAATAATCTTATGTCAGATAATAAAATATTAACATCATCGAAAGAACATTCATTAACAACAAAAATGTCTGAGCCAATAACAATCTCATCGACTTAATTTATCATAAAACAGCCATAATTCTATTTTTCTATGTCTTTCTTTTCTATATTTTTGTTTCACTTAGACCGATCGATCATCTTCTTTTGTTTTCGTGGTTTATGTTTTGTTTTTGCTCTGTTTATATCGAACATAATGATATGCAGGAAAAAAGAAACGTTCTTCCGTTGCGTGTCTTAATAAAATTCTTAATTCGTTTTTTGTTTTTGCACAAAAAAACTATAATCATAAATCTCATATGTTTTTTTTATGAAGAATTTATTTGAATAAATTATCTTTAAATGCTATGTCTACAAAAATTTCGATTTTAAATAACGACGTAATGAATGATTATATAGAAAAAGATTTCCAATAATAATTGATATAGACAATATTGGAAGAAAAGAAAGAATTTCATAAATTATTGTAGATATGAAAATATTCAGAGATTGTAAACAAGTTATTATATAAATCGGTGTGCAACCAATAATCGAAATAATTAATATACAAAACATACGTTTCAATAAATGATGATTTCGAGTTTTGATTCGTGAAGAATTTGTTAGTGTATTTGAATGAACACGTCTTGATGAACGATGCGCATGTGAAAAAATAAGTCCATTAATAATTGCAACAAATAGTGTAGGTAAAATAGCAATTACGCATAAATTATAAATTCCTATTCCAAGAGGAAATTTATATTGACTAACCTTTCTGTTTATACACCAAATTGGTATAGGTAATATAAATGCTATAACCCATTGAAATGCAAAACATAAAATCATTGAACGTCGCTTATTAAACCAAGGTTTATTTCCATAAATAATATTACAAAATCGATATATTGAAAGAACACATAGAGAAAAAGTTGCTTGACAATCTACTGTTGTTTGAATATAAATTATAAGAGAATCTGATTGATTTTCTAAGAAATTAGTTAGAAATATTTCAAATGAAAAATATAATGTCCAATATATTGTAGATAATACTAATGCAAGACATACATTAACTGTAATTAAATTATTTGATGTACGAAGATTTTGAACAATAAGAATTGGAAAACAATATATACAAATACATATAATATTTAATATAAGAAAAATAATCGATAGAATCGTTAAAAAAAGACCTAGAAGCCATGATGATGATTGCATTTTTTGATAGATGAAATACTTTTGTGATATATATTTATATACTAGACAGAAAGATTTGATCTTCTAATTAAATAGAATATTATTAGATTTTATTCTGATTGAAAGATATGATAAATCATTATGACGAAAACAACAACAACAAGGTATTTTACACATAGAAAAATCATACAATACCTATTGATATTCTGTGATTGACTTTGTTGTGAACATAAAAATTATCAAAAGTATTTTCAATGATTTTGTATTACATGTCTTATTAATATGATCTGCAGTATGTTATCTGTGTACTCCTCTGTAAATTTTCTTTGCTTTTCGACGTATGTATATCTCGAGAGCGGAAAGTCATAAAAATTTGTTTTTTTATATTTTATTCTGAATGTTTTAAATTGTTGATTTTTCGAATCACTAATACATTTATTTTCTGCTGTGTCAATGATATACATGGTTTACTAACAGAGACCATGAATCATGATAAATCAAAATTAATTAAAACAAGAGAATATCATTAAATTTGTTGGTAGGATAGATGAGATGTTAAGAAGTAAAATTACTTTTTCATTTACTTCTATTTTCATTAATATGCAAGAGCTTTCTGTATTGTATGACCAATTCTATTTTTAGCTTGTCTTTGAGAAAAGATATTTAATTCTTTTCGTATCTATTTCTAGTAATATATCGAATATATTAAACAAAAACAAATTTTTCTTTAATTAATATTATTAGCAAAGTGACTGCTCAAGAAAATGGCAAATAAATCATAAAGACTGATGAATATTATTTCTTCATAGAAAATTCATCCAACATCTAACTTCAGAACTATTCTAATATTGTCATTTGATGCATGTTTAATTTCCTTCTTTCTCTCTTGAATAGATAATTATCCATAAAAATGAATATAGATTTTTTTTATGAGTTTTTGACATATGAGAATATGCAAAACTGATGAGGAAGTAACAATAGCTCGAAACACTTAAGACAATGCGTCTTTCTCATCTGATGAAGAATATAAGTTCAGTAGAGAAAGAAAGATTTGTTATTTATTTAATCAAAAATGATTACATAGCATTGCTGATAAGAAAATTATTTCATTTCGTTATCATAATAAAAATAACACATATATCCACACAGTTAAGACACAACATTTTCTATTAATATAATATAACTACGATTAATTTAAGTATCACTATTATGTGTACGTAATAAAGTTTGCGAAACACAAATATGATGACGTCCTCGAGATGTTTCACGCATTGTCACACGAATTGGACTTGATTCATGAGCAGTATCACTACTAAGTGAAGAATGCTAAAATACGAATTTATCAATAATTTGTGTTAGATAAAAAATAGTTGTTGATTTCTTACTGAATTTATTGGTATTGCTATAGGTTTAATGTGTAAATTAAGATAATCAGTTTCCGATGATGATTTATTTGGCATATCATGAACTGATGATGTTGTTAATAATGAATATTCTTGTTGACGTTCGAGCGGTGTTTCAGCTACTTTACTATTAGTACTATAATTAAGATCACTTGGTTTCAAACCATATAAGAGTACTTTGCACAATGTCATTGAATTCTAAAATATTTCATATAAAAATAACTTTACAAAATACAGATAATTCTATATGAAATAGATCGTCTACGTGTATGTGCGACGCATGTTAAATGAAAGAGAAAAAAACTACTTTAACGTGTTATATTGAACCGTTTGGAAAGTAATATTACTTTTACCATTATGATGATAGTAATGAACACCATCGAGAAAATGAATGAGAAAAAAAATGTTCTACATATATATATGTATGTGCAAGCACGCTTGTCTATTTACTCTTAGACTAATCAGAGAAAAAAGTCAGAAAAGAATGAACGTTGTGTTCTGTTCAATTTACCTATGAGAAGAAGTTAATAATTACAATGGATTAATATAAAAATAGTATAAAACAGATGTAAAAAAATGAACATACTTTAGTTTGATCGATAACTGGTTCGGAAAGTATAGCAGTAGCAACATATGGTTTATAATATGATTGAACAAACCATGAGACAGATTCGTTATCTTTTTCCTATGTAATATTTATAAAGAAATAATATAGCAAGATCATTTTATTTCCTAAACATCTACTCACAGTCATTGTTTATATAATTGCTACCCAACAAAAAAGTTGTATTTATTTGAATAATTAGTTATTTGTTGTTGTCACAATGATAGAAATGAACTAGTCGTACGATAAACGATAGAATACCTCGAACACGTGTGTGTAATAAAGAATGTAATGTGTTTGTGTGCGTGTTTAAACTATATGATAAGCGAGAGAGAGAGAGTTAGAAAGAAGATGAGACATATCATTTTCTTCTTATTTAAATCAACACTTCACCTGTTTGTTATGGCCACTGTTAGTACATAGATTGATGATAACATATGTCTGTGTGCAAATTTAATGATATGTGTATGTATATATATATATACATATCATAGTAGTAAAAACAAAAGAAGAATAACGAAGAACATATCATCTGTATTTGCATATCAACATTCTTTTTTGAACTCGTTCAATTATATTTACATACAGGCAATTTGACTTTCTAATCGTTTCATTCTGTATGTGTTTTATTTTATATATATAAGAAAAAATGCAGATAGACTGAACA